CCTGATCAGAACAGATTTATAAAGGAGCGCCAAGCCCACCATGGTACCTGTCGTGTGCCGAATATAATCTATGCTAAATATGAACATCCCGATACAGCTTTCACTTGATGCAGAAAAAGCATTCAATAGAGTGGAACATAATTATCTATACAATGTTTTATCTCAATTTGGCTTGGGTAGTTATTTCATAACCTGGATTAAAATAATTAATAATAAACCCACAGCCTCAGTTATAACGAATAATATTATATCAGATTCATTTAATCTAGCTAGGGGAACACGTCAAGGGTGTCCCCTCTCACCCCTTCGTTTTTCTGGCAATTGAACCATTGGGTTTTGCCTTAAGGAACAATCAAAACATACGGGATGTCAGAATAAAAAGTATTGAATCTAAAATTTGACTGTTTGCAGATGACATTATTTTAATGTCTAATCTGAAGCGCTCAATCCCTCAACTACTTAAAATTATTCATGCGTTTGGTTATAATTTCGGTTATAAACTTAACAAAGCTAAATCCCCCATCCTATTTTTAAATCAGTCCACCTCACAATTAACATGGGGACGACGACTAAATCTCGAGGACTAAATCTCGCTCAAGTTATCAAGATAACGAACAACAATGATTTCTAACTTGGCGTTTGGACTGATATTTAGCCCTCTCCTCACAAGTTCTGCAGGCGGCGTATTTCGACTTATTAAGAGCGCGAACACCGTAGATATCCTCTTCTTTTGCCCTTTTTTGGAGCACAGACGTTAATGTTTGGTAGTCCGGTCTCCTCTTTCCAGAGCAAACGTCCTCAGCCGAGGACGTTTGCTCCTCGGCTCCTCGGCAGCAAACGTCCTCAGCCGAGGACGTTTGCTGTTTTGGAAGATTGGCCAGATCTTCCACTATGACAGCTCTCTCTTGAGTCCGGTCTTCCAACGCCGCTTTTGTCAGTGCAGAGGTTGAGCTTTTAGACTCAACGGCCTCCTCTGTACCGCTAACTTCCCCAGCCGGGGACAGATCTGTCTGAAAACTCATTTCAGACACAGCCATCTGAAATGAGTTTTCAGACTGAAAACTCCCACGATGGTCTGACTCCCCGCAAACTTTTCCAGCCGGAAAAGTTTGTTGAGGGTTTTCAGACCCATCTGACTTAAAACTCCCACAGTGGCCTGATGGACCACAGCAAACTTTCCCAGCCGGGGAAGTTTGCTGCGAGTTTTCAGAGCCACTAGAGTTTAAACTCCCGCAATGGCCTGATGGGCCACAGCAAACTTTCCCAGCCGGGGAAGTTTGCTGTGAGTTTTGGCCTTTCGGGGAAGTTTGCTTCACGGTCGGGGAAGGGTTGAAAAGATAGGCGTCGAATTCGTCGTACTCAATGGACTCATCCTTGTAGCTACTAATATCGAAAGTTACGCCAGGAAGGATCTTATTAAAGATCTTCCTCACTCCTGTGGTGAACAAATATCCTGCACTAAAAGTCAAGGGGAAAAACACGGTAGCTACAACCTGTTCAATCCGTAAAATCGCTAAAAAACACAGAGCTAAGAGTCAAAGAGAGGCTTGGATATAACCTCCTGTTTTAGGTCCAAGTATTCATAACCTCAGATGTTCTTTGATCTATGTCATAGATGAGGTCATAGCTACAATGAGTCACTGTAGTTCTGGGGGAATGTCTTGCTTCTGATCGTTGCTATGGAAACGGTCAAATCAGTTCTGCATGACTCAAACTATTAGCCCTTTGCAACTGCATCACTTAATCATTCGGGCGCCATGACGGACTTCAGAAGGGTATATTTCAGGAGGCTAGGGATTAAAACAGGGATTTTAATGGTTAAATATTAAGTTTACATTGACAATGGTATATTAAAACCATTAATTTAAGTAGGATTTTTCATCATTCTATCAGGTTTGAAATTTTGAATCATACTTGACTTAAAAATATCTTAAAAGTAAAATTAAATGTAACTTACAAACATTTGCTGCTGCTGTTGTAAATTGCGACAATAAATTTTGCCTGCTTGGAGAAGAAGCTACAAAGAAATAATTTTGGTTTAATAATTTTACATGTTAGCATAGAAATAGAACAAAGAATGATCCCAAAGAAATGATGCTGCCGCTCCATATTTGATGGGTTGTAAACGACCCACTCGAACACATTTGTTCTGTACATTGCGGAAACGTAAACAATAGAGGAACTGGGCATAAAGTTTCCAGGCTCTGCCTTGCAAGCTTGACTAGCCGGTTATAAAGCCAAGTTTACTCTTAGAACACTTCGTAATATAATAATCACCGGCATTCAAATACAACAGCTAGCATTTGGCTAATTAGCTCTAGCAAATTCACCAAGCGCCCATTTAGAACAGATAACAAAAAACTAATCTCTCACCACGTTGGGCAACACCCAGGAACAGCAGTAAGATATGATTTTATGGGAGACTTCTTACAAGTCCGTCCTTATAAGTTACTGTGCTTATCACACGTGCTAATCTCCATTCATTACGAGGTAAGTCATCCGTCTCCTCCATGACAACATCTCTGACCTTCAAGTTTCTTCTTGGAGTGTGCCATTTCTGCCTTGTTGCAATGTTGGATAGATACTCCCTTTTCCAACTTGACCAAAACTGCTCTGCTAAATATTGCATCCGCCGCCACCTTTTCCGTGCATAAATGTCTTCTTTGATGAATTTACCTGGAGGAGGCAGGGCTACCTTTGACTTCATAGTGAGCAGGTGATTTGGAGTCAATGGATCGGGACTGTTTGGGTCACTGAGGTTATCCACTGTAAGAGGTCTGCTGTTCACAATCAACATTGCTTCATAAAAGAATGTCCTTAAAGATGGACATTCTTCACTTTCTTCTGCCTTCGTTTTGGAGAACGGGGTTTTGATTCGTTTTGGAGAACGGAAGATGGAGAAAGGACAATGTTCCAGCAAGGCTTCTATAGTGGAACGTCCAGTCCAGAAACTGGTTCTACTATTAGAGACTGTTTAACTATAAGAAATCATTATCACTCCACTTGTTAAGTTAAGTTCTAATGATTTGAGAGTATTATGTTTATTAAATGTGATGTTTATGTTTCAATATGAAATGGTGTTAATATTTGATTAACTGTCAAACAGTTGGAATACATTTTAGTTAATGTGTAATATAGAAATGTTAGTTAATTAAATACATGTAAATTTAATGTTATTACATAAAGTAAGGTTTATAGGTTAAGGGAAAAGGTTAGAACCACTAAGAGTTACTAATGGTATTTTATTTGTATGTTTATAGTTCATGTATAAAGGCTGTTGAATAAAGAAACGTGAACCATCAGTTAAAGAGACCATATTTTCAACTAGGACGCTACATGTCTTACCATAAAGATTTTCAACATTTCCTTTTTGAAATTAATGGATTAAACAGTCATTGAGAATTCTTTAGGATTTCATGAATGTTTTTGAGATTTTTTTGTTCTTTTATTAAACAAATTGTATTATTTTGTGGAGCTACTTTAGAAATATTTACAAACAATTTTGCAATATTTTTCCTCTTTAAATGTTCCCTTCAAAATCCACAAATAGAAACAATTTGAGAAACAATTTTAATGTTTCTTCTTCTCTTCTTTAAAAACTTTGATCATGAATGAAAACTAGAAATCAAGTGAGGCTGAGGCAACAGCAGAAACGCAGACTCGCTTAAACTCTGATTTTCATCTTTTTCACAGAAAATCTGGGATAAATTCACAATTATGTGTTAGTTTTAAAAACCAGAGGAATGAATAATCACTATATTTAGAAATGAAGCCAGAGAATATTAATGCAACGTTTCACAGAACAATAATAAACTGTGTTTATTGAATGATTTAGATATCAGTTAGCATCTTATTCTCCTAGCTGAGCTGTGTCTGTAGTAGCTGCAGATTTTCGGCCACTTCAGGCTTCCGTAGAAACATGTGTCAGATGAAGACCTCACCGACGAAGATCCAGGCGCTGTCCTTGTACTCGCTGTGCCAGGACACGGCCTCTTTGATGCCCAGGTCGGCCTCGCGCTCGTTCAGCTCATTGATCAGCTTCACCTTCGTCAACGGACTGCAGATACAACAGAACGGCCGAGTCGGACTCAACAACCAAACTGGACAAATTGGGACAAGTTGAATAAATCCATGCATGGTTTAAATATGTATCTCCTTATAACAGATAAACCAGCTGCTCTGCATTAGTCTCATCCATCCTCCGGTGTGAAGTCAGGTCAGACTTCACACTGGCATCAGCCCCCACACCCTCTTCCTCGAGGTTACATCCTAGACCAGGTGTCCACAAAGTCTAAACCAGTCCAACCTCCGAGTTCCAGCATGAAACTTCTGGTAGCAAGGGGAACCTTTCACATCAAATAATCACATAACTAAATAAGGCTGAATCATTTTTAAATCCCCAGGAAGAAAACGGTCCAGATCTAAAATGATAAAGTTTTAGTTTTATTGTGTGAGCCGATTTAAAGAGCACCATATTTCTGTCTCTGTGGATGTTCTAGTTTGGGTTTGTTCTGATTTATCAGCCAGTTATTGATACACGTAAGTTCAAATTGATCAGATTGTGAATGAGGTCCGGGGAGGAGCGGAAGAGCGGCTGCTTCCCGGACCAGCTGCGACTGCAGGTCGGATACAGTCTGCAGGAATAGGTCCTCAGGATATCAGTTCACTACCAGCCTGAATGAAGGAGAAGAATCACTTACTTCATGGTTTAATACAGCTCGGAGGAAGCGGCGCGAGGAGGAAACGGTTTTCTCTGTTTACATGACCAACTTCCGCTTCAAAACTCTCCTCTGTTGCCACCTAACGGTCAGATTGATACAGTACTAGTTGGTTATTAAAACGCATCTACTGTAAATCATATGAGAGTTTAAAAGATGAAATAATTAAATAACTTAAATTAAATAAACATTAATAAGATCTGAGTATTTTTCCTTCTCAATAAACCTGATAAAACAATCCGTTCTACTCCCCTCCTTTAGGGGGCGCTGTGAAGCTAGCTGTTAGCTGTTGAGCCGGTTTAAAGTCTGTCTGGTCTGCTCGTAAACGTTACATTTATGTTTAATTTGACCTCTAAATATTTCAGAAAAATAGTTTATTCCGACGTTGATCAGTTTAATGTGAGTTAGAGTCATGAAATATCTTTAGTTTTAATATAATTTAACTGAATGCAATAACCTAGCTGCTAAATTAGCTCTTCTGCTGTTAACTGAGGGAATTTAAACTTTCAGGATTTTTATGTAAATAAACCGAACCGAACTGAAGCGGGTGCAGCTCCTACCTTCAGCGGTAAGTACATTTAATTTAAACCCGAATGCTGGAGCTAATTTAAAGCTTCCTGTCAGTTTCTGAATGTTGATGTTTCTGTTTGGTGGAACAGAGAGGGATGGAAGTGAAACTTTACAGGAGCAGAGGTAAATAAAATAGAAAAAAAAAGGCAGAGGACGCTAAGGACTGGGGTCAAAGGTCCAAAGATTCTGGAAAAGAGGCAATGTCATTTTATTATTATAAAATATTTCATCAACAAGGTAATTTAAAGAGTTTTACATTATTAGAAGGAAAATAAAACAAGAAACAAGCACACACAAAAAACATGACACAGCAGGCAAGAGGTTGAAAAACAGACACAGATGATGCTCCGCTACTCACCAGATCAGCTCTAACCAGGTAGGTTTCAGCCTGGTTTTGAAAGGACTCGATGTTTCGGCTGGTTTTCAGTGTTCTGGAAGTCCACAGAAACTGAATTCTGCTTCTACATGTTTGGTTCTGGTTCTGGATGCAGATCAGAACCTTCAGCAGCAGCTCTTTAATTCATTCAGTGATTTATGAACCAACAGAGGGATTTAAACAGGCGGAGAAGAGCAAGAATAATTGTTGCTTTAAATTAAGAACATTTTATCCGTTTAATGTTATAAAGCTGTTATGTCATCATCCGGCCCGTATCTGACTAGACTCCAGAACCGGGTCAATTTGGACCTGTCTCAGACCTGATTCTGGTCTAAACTGGCTGAGTTCCCAGTAAAAACAACTGGGCTCTTTTCTGACCAATCAGAATCCAGCCTCAGCTGTGCCGGGTTTGGGTGAGTTCTGTGGCTCCTCCTGCCAGACAGGGGCTCAGCCTGTGGTAACCTTCTGTTTGTCTCAGAGGGACCAAGACGACGACGATGATGATCTCTCAGCTCTTCATCTTGTCCTCCAAGGGCGACCATCTCATCTACAAGGACTGTATCCTTCTGACCCGGTTAGTTCCAGGTCCTGGTTATGGTTCTGGGTCTGGATTTGGTTGTGGTCAGCCTGGCATCAGCCAATCAGAGGCCAGCTTTATTTCAACACTTGACTCTGAGACTCAGACCGTGGAGAGGCAGGAAGTGATGTCATCGACGTTTTCTATGAGAAGGTCACAGCGCTGACGGGAGACCAGCCGCCCGTTGTCATGGTAACGCAGCCATCCCCCTCTCTGTCTCTCTTCCTCTATCCCTCCATCTGATCCTCTGTTTTCCTGCAGAGCCACAAAGACCTCCACTTCGTCCACATCAGGCAGGGCGGTCTCTACTGGGTTGCCACAACGACAGCTGACTCCTCTCCATTCAGCATAATCGAGTTCCTGAACAGGTTGGTGTTGGTTCGCCCCCAGCTGCTGACCCACCGGCTGGTGGTGACCTCTGACCTCTGCTCCAGGCTCAGCGGTCTGGTGAAGGATTACTGCGGCAGCCTGTCAGAGAAGGCCGTTCAGATGAACTTCGCCCTGATCTACGAGCTGCTGGACGAGGTGCTGGTGAGTCTGTGGCCACAGGGGCATCTCTGCTGTTGGTCTGATGATACATAAGATCAACCTACATAAGAAGAACCACAGACAACGTATATGAGTTTTCAACCAAGCTTTCATGGAAGGAGAAATCGCAATGTACAGCTCCTGCTAACCATTCACTACGGGTTCTGCCGAACTTCCGCTGGAGCTTGTCTTTTATTTTCACACAAGGGAGAGATAAGAATGAAAAGCAAGTTTTGTCTCTGCAAACTGAGCCAGAGCCCGAGCTCCGCCCACACGCACAGAGCGCTTTGTGTTACTGTTACTCATAGTAACAACTTATTTAACTGAAAATGTTTGAAGAATGTCAATAAATATGAAAAATACAAAAGTTAAAAACTTGATCAGTCTCTGTGTTGGAATAATCAGAATTATTTTACTGTTGTAGACGGAAAAAGAGCAACAACTTTGTTTCAATGAGAAACATGAAAACTGGTAAATATTGAAGCAGCAGAGACCCGAGGAAGGATCCGTGTCCGTCTGTCCATCTGTCCTGCTCTAGACATGAATCGCTGTGTCAGTCTGAATAATCATTTAGCTCCATGTGAAAGCGTTCAGGCTGTGACTCCGTGTCTCCAGGACTACGGCTATGTCCAGATGACATCATCAGATGTCCTGAAGAACTTCATCCAATCAGAGGCCGTCTCCTCCAAACCCTTCAGCCTGTTCGACCTAAGCAATGTGGGACTGGTATGTATCGCCCCCTACTGGGGCCCCGAGTCATTACCTCCCTCATAGCCGGGCCCTGGTTAGAACCACATCAGGCTCTGATTCCATCAGCAGAGGTTCTGCTCCTCAGGTCCAGCAGTCTGGGCTGAGTTGGACCAACATCTCCAACTTGTTGTTCTGGTCCAGGTTCCAGGTGAAGCCAAGCTTATCTGGTAGAATCTGGACCTGTGGTGCTGGTTCTGATGGTTCTGGTTGTTGTCTTTTGCAGTTTGGAGCGGAAACCCAGCAGAATAAAGTTGCTCCCAGTTCTGCTGCCACCAGACCGATCCAGTCCAGCAGAGACCCGGTACCAACACTCTGGCTGTGTTTGACCAGAACCGGACTGCTGGTTCTGGTCACTGACGTGGTTCTGTTGTTCTCCAGGGAGGGAAGAGTGAGATCTTTGTGGACGTGATTGAGAAGATGTCGGTGGTGATTGGCTCCAACGTGAGTTCAGTCCAGGTTCTCCACCACCAGTGATATCCAGAACCAGAACCGCAGCCTGGAGGTTCTGAAGGTCCAGACTCAGAAACAGAACCCAACAAACCCGGTTCTGAAGTCCATCAGAACCTGGTGGTGTCATTCAGAGTCTCAGTGGAGACGTTCTGGACTTATCTGGAGATGAACTGGACTTTCTGTTCTCCAGCTGTCAGAACCTTTACGGTTCTGCTGGTTCTGTTGACCCATGACCCGAACCTTCAGCTGCAGGCTGAGCTGTCTGTGTTCTGACCCACAGGGGGTTCTGATGAAGGCCGACATTGAGGGAGAGGTCCGAGTCAAGTGCTACATGCCGAGCTGCTCCGGTGAGTCTTAAGAACCAGAACCAGAACCGCGTGTTACTGGGACACCTGTAACACCTGGTCCCAGTAACACCAAGTGTTCCTCTGTCTCCCAGAGATGCGGATCGGTCTGAACGAGGAGTTCAGTGTGGGCAAATCCCAGCTCCGAGGTAAGCCCCATCCCCTGACCTCTGACCCCTGACCTGTCCAGTAGCAGGCTCTGTCCACTCAAAGGTTCTGACCCGTCCAGGTTACGGCGCCGCTGTCCGGGTCGATGAGTGCAGCTTCCACCAGTCGGTCCAGCTGGACGAGTTCCACAGTCACCGGATCCTCAGACTATGTCCCAGCCAGGGAGAGGTGACCTCTGACCCCATCATCACTGAGCTCTTCATCCTCTGATGACCTCACTGACCCCTCCTCTTCCTTCTCCAGCACGCAGTGATGCAGTACCGGCTGAGTGACGAGCTGCCGTCAGCGCCACCGTTCCGCCTCTTCCCCAGTGTGGAGAGGGACTCAGCAGGACGGTAAGCCCCGCCCCCTCAGGGATTCTGGTTCTGGTTCTGGTTCTGGTTCTAGTCTTCATCAGACTGGAGAACTGTTAGATTTCACCAGCAGGGGGCAGCATCACCATCACCTCTGGATCCTCAAAGTTTCTGCTTTTCCTCATTTTACAAAACAAATATTTTATTATTCTCCATCTGACCTTTGACCTTATCCCCATTCTATACCTATGGTGATATCACTTCCTGAGTTCTTGATGAAGCATTTCCAGAATATTAAAGCTGCTCAGCCTGTTTACAACTGGCTGTTCCTATCAGGGCATCTCCATGGTAACAGTGAACTGCCACCTGGGGGCTCAGGTCCCTGCAGATGAAGCTACTCTCTGATTGGCTGCTCTAATGAAGGTGTTGTTGTCCTCCTCAGGCTGCTGATGTACCTGAAGCTGCGTTGCGACCTTCCGCCCAAGAGGTCAGTCTCCCTGCTTCCTGAGGGGGCGGGGCCAGCGGCTCAGATGGAGCACACCTGCTGCTCTGCATCACTCGGCTCCCTGAGCGCAGCTGGAAATGGCTTGTTTGTTCAGGAGGAAATTGATCTGGGTTCTGTTGGTTCTGGTTGGATCAGTGGCAGTACCCAGGCCACTGACCCGCTCTGACCAGAACCAGGCCGGCCTGCTGCCACACCCTGCAGCCACTGCTCTGGTTCAACATGCAAATCAGGGCAGAGTGGCTGCAGCTCACCTGGCGGGTTGCTAGGAGACCACAGGTAGCCGGGCTCCTGCTGGGTTCCTGTCTGAGGAACAGCAGTTGCTGGATCTCCTGGTTCTGAACCGTTTGGTTGCACCTGAGCGGGCCTGGTTCTGATCCTGGCTCCGCTGATGGAGCTCAGTGACCCGGTTCTGATCCAATTCTAATTTGGTTCTGACCCTGTTCTCACTCACAGCTCAGCAGGACATCAGTGCTGCTTTTTCTGCATTTTTGTTTTGAGTTTTGCTCACTAATTCAGGGTCAGATCATCTCCTGCCTCTGGTTCACAAACAGAAACCAGCTGCATAAACTATAAAATAACAGAAGAATCAAAGATTAACATAGAACAAGAACCCGGTCAAAACTGACTCAAAAGTAACCGGTTCTACCATCCAGCAGGACGGGTCACATCTATATCCATTCATGGGTTAGACTGGCCTAGTCAAAGTACGAACCTGGATCTAAGTGAAAATATCTTATAATTATGTGAAAAAATCCATATGGTGTGAATAACTTTCATAAATGTAATTAATTTAAATTATTTAGTTTAATTTCCCTTTGGGAAAGTATTAATATTATTAATAAAGTATTTTTGAATTTGAATTAAATTGAAGGTCAGGATTTGTGAAAACATTTCAGTTCAGGTTCCTTCATGGTGGAAGAAAAACTGTCCATCTAATCCAACAGATTATCTACCTTAGATTACACAGGAACAAATCAATGGGTTCACAACTGCAAACTACAGACACTATAGTAAGTTACTGTAACAGGAAGTAGAAGTCACTGTAACAGGAAGATGGAGCACAATGATGATGATGATGACATCACCTTCTTCTCTTTGTAGCACTGCCATCAACCTCTCCGCCTCCATCCCGGTTCCTAGAGGTGCTGTGAGGTGAGCGTTGCCATGGAAGTTCTCATTTGACTGTGGTTCTGGTGTTTGGCTTCCGACCGATTTGGTTTGTAAAGTCGGATGGAAATAAGGAGCCAGCATCCGTTCCTGATGGATGGTTCTGGTTCTGATCCGACGGAAGAACCACAACTTGTCTGGGCCATGGATGGATGCTGACCCCATGGTGACTCCATGGTGACCTATGACCCCTGTGACCTCTGTGTTTCTTCTCCCCAGTCTGTCCCAGGAGCTCAGCAGTCCAGATCAGAGCGCGGAGCTGCAGCTGCAGAACAGAACTGTGTTCTGGAAAATCCCGCGGTTCTGTGGAGGAACCCAGCTGTCCGCCCTGTTCAAGGTGACCCGGTTCTGTGCTCTCTACCTGCTGGTACCAGAACCTGCTGGTCCACAACCGGTCCACCAGAACCTGTAGATGGAATAATGTGTCCAATTTTTGACCCAGTTCTGGAATGATCTGCTCCATATTTTCAATCATCATCAGAGCAGATGGGTTCTGGACAGGTCTGGTTCTGGACCAGTCTGGTTCTAGACAGACCCATCTCGTTCTGGACCAGTCTGGTTCTGGGCTGACAGCACATGGTGTCAGCAACAGAACCGCTGATTCTGTCCTTTCCTCTGTCCCCAGCTGGACGTTCCGGGTCTGAGCTCCGCCTCCATGCTGGAGGTCGGTCCGGTCGGGCTCAGCTTTGAGCTGCCTAAGTGGACCGGAACCGGACTGCAGATCCGCTTCCTGCGCCTGTCTCCCATCCATCCCGGCCCGTCTCAACGCTGGGTCCGATACGTCACGCACTCCGACTCCTACATCATCCGGATCTGACCCAGTTCTGAACCGGCTGGACCTGGTCTGAATCTCTGGAAATTCAGTTCTGTTGGACCTTTTAAAGCAGAACTCTGAGCCTAGAACCAGGAGGAAGTTCTGTGCTGATTCAGCCTGATCACGCTCACTGACCCGTTCCACTTCTGCTTCAGAACTTCCTGCTGATAATGATTCACCAGCCGACCTGGACCAGTGTGGCGCTGAAGGTTAAGCCCAGCTGCGGCCCGGCCCGACTCGCTGGGCTCGTCCCTTCCTCTGGGGTCCCACAGGAAGGCCCGCGGTTCTGATCCAGAACAGCGACAGGAAGCGGAGGAGGCTGCAGAGACAGCAGTAACTGGGTCGGCTCTGGACTTCCTGATGGAAACAGTTCTGACAGGCCCGGTTCTGAGCAGCACCTCCATAACATGTTGCTGCTCTGCTCCTGGTCAGGATAAAACCAGAACCGGTCCAGAACTCCTCTGACCCACCCTGAGGTGATAGTTATCGCAGGAAAAGTTCTCCTTCGAGTTCTGTGATTTGAATAAGTTACTCTGATTTGCACTTATGCTAATCAGTTAATAGCACAGCTAATTTTAGTCTATGTTTCTGAATTCTGAAACACTTATTTCCTTGGATGTTTTTTAAGATTTCAGTTGAATAAAGTTTGACATCAGGGGTTGAAGTTTTAGTTTTTGACTGTTAAAAATCTTCTAAAAGTTAGACGTTATAGTCATGCTCTTATTTTGAAGTCTGTGGACACAGTGAACAAATTAAAATCTGCTGAAGTCCTGGTGCTTTCTGACTGAACCCTACCGCGGTCAGTTAGGCTAAACTAGCAACAGCGTTAGCAACAACTATGAAACTTAAACATGGTATAACTCATGTCACTGACACATGGGGCATTTCAATATGACTGAATTTAGTGCTTTAGCATTAGCTTCTGCTAATTACTGTGTTGGTATAGCTACTTAGCGTTAGTAGAACTAATATTTATGGTTAGTACTTTAGGGTTTGCATAGCTAGGTTTGTAGTTAGCGGTCCTACCACTGAGTTAATGTCCTACCTTAGAGGATCATAGAAGCATCCATACAGGATGACCTCTGGAGGGAGCCTAATCTCCTTACCTACTCTGTTAACAGAACTCTGAGGAGATTCAGATCCATAACTGGAACAATAACAGAAATATTATTTTGATCAGTTTCACTTCCTGCCAGATGTTGAAACCTTCCAGATGTTTTTCCATGAAGACTTCCAGCTGTGAGCCCAGCCTCTTCCTCCTCTCCCTCCTCTTTCTCAGCCTCTGGGCCGTGTGCAGAGCCAACCAGAGCTCCTGCAGCTGAGTGAACATGTTCTGCTGATTAACATCTCGTTCCACTCAGTGGACCACAGGATGGAGCCGGGTTCTACTGGGACCGGCTGGAACACGTCAGCACCAAGAGTAGCCAGGATCTGGACCCAGACTGAGATTCTGGTCAGGACTCAGAACCAGAATCTCGACAAGGATCGAGGTTCTGGACGAGCTTGAATCAGTTCTGACCCAGAACCAGGAAGTTTTCAGTTTTGTTTTCATGTTAAGAATTTTAGTTTCAGTTTCTATGGCTTCTTATTAAATATTAGCATAAACTAAAAACAAAACACCTTCCTGCTGAGTCATCCTCTCTTCTACTGCTGTAGAAAAGTTTCACAGCCAGATGAACTTCGGACTTTCATCATAATTAATGTTTATCAATAAATCATGGAGTTTTGGTTTTGATCTGGGAACCAGCTAACTGGGATCGGTCCAGTTCTGCTGGTTCTGACCTCAGATAAGCAGAAGGAAGCGGGTCAGCACCACAGACCTGCTGCCTCAGCTGTTCTGGGGAATCAACAACTGGCTGGACTGAACCAGTCCTGGGTCAGAAGAACATGGCCAGCGCAGAGTTCAGCTGGACTCACCAGTCCCGGTTCTGAACCGGTCCCAGCTTGTGAATATTTCCTCTTTAATAAATGAGCTTTCATGCTTCTGACTCATTGAAATTATTTTATTTTCAACTATTAGTTTATTTTCATTTTTATTTTTAACAGTTTTTCAGAAACTTGTCAGGCAGCTTCAGACTGATCATGTAAAAACTAAAACAGGTGAGTGAGGGAGAAATTATGCATGCATATTTATGAAAATATTATCAATATTTGTTATCTTTATTTACATAATAAAGTTAGAGCCCTGAACCGGTCCAGGTTCTGATCTCGATCCTGAATCGGTTCTGGTTCTGAACCGGTTCTGATCTTCTGGTTCTGAACCGGTTCTGGTTCTGCTCCCGGCCCGGTTCCTCTCGGATGAATCCTGATCTGTTGAACGTTTCACGCATCGTGTTGACATGTTGGAGGACTCCGCGTTGCGCAATCTGCAGTCTGCGCGCGCACACACACGCACGCAGACGCAGGTTTGTGTTCCCGCATCCCCCGTCCTCCTCCTTCTTCTCCTCATCTGGACCGAGTCCTTCACGAACCTTAAATCCGAGTTGTAACCTTCGCAGTTGCGGTGAAAGTACGTTGGTCCTCGGTAGTGCGGGTTAACGGCGCGCTTGGTCCTCACAGACACAGCAAGCCCGCTCTCACACACGCAGCCGTTGCGGAAGCTCGGAGCAGCCGAGGCGGCGCTAAAACCTATTAGCATACTAACCAGTTCTGGGTGGATGGACGGCTGAACGGAACCTCCCGGACCGAACCGACACCGCCTGACAACCAACAACACTCCGCCGGCTCAGGCCTCATTTTGTCGGGATTCTGCTGCCGTCCGCCTGCCGAGGAGATGGGGGACAAGGCGGGCACCAGGTAGGGCTGTTAGCCGCTGTTAGCTGCGGTTCTGACGGGCTGAGCTAGCGTTAGCAGCCGCTCTGCTGGTTCTGGACTGGGGAGCTGGGCCAGGCGGGACCGGCGGGTTTAACTGCTTTATTGAAAGGGGGTACCCCAACCAGGGCGAACAGAACCCTCGGGGCTCGGTTCGGATCTGTTCCCCCTGAGGACACCAAGGCTGCGGGCGAAGTTAGCCCCGCAGCAGGGTGGGGTTAGCGGGGCAGCCCAGGCTCCAGAATCGGTCTGACCAGAGCCACTGCTCTGGGACTGGAACAGGTTCGGGTCGTGGGTGAAAAACACGACTCCAGCATGAAGACAGGTGGGCGGAACGGACCCTGGAAATCCTGGAGTTTCACGGAGATTTCCGTTATTTCCACCCAGGGAACACACCGAGCTACTCCGGTTAAATATCAGCCTGGTTCTGGGTCCACCTGCTGGTTCCGACCCAGCTGGAGGAGCGGGTCGGCCCGGGTTCAGTCACTGGCCTGAAGCCAGTAAACAGGAAGCCAGCCTGACGGCCTTCTGGTTCCTGCAGACACCTGAAAGGCTGTAGTTTGTTGTGTGTTTTCATCAGAACCAGAATCAGGCCGGTGGAGCCCACTAACCTGCTGCAGAACCTGTTGCATGTGGATCCAGTCGAACCGAGAACTCTGAGTCCCAGTTTCACATCCTGGTTTTAGGAGTTTCCGGGTCACCTTCCATGGAGACCCAGGATTCAGTTCAGGTGTTGCTGTGGGGTAGACCAGGCCCCAGTAGCAGTTGGTGTTACAGTGACTCTTTGGGGCCTCTGACTGCATAAGGTTGCTAACAGCTGATGCTCCTCAATAACCTGTCCAGGATGACATTTGGTTGGGAAATCGTTGCTTAGTGACCACGTGAACTCAAAGTCTCCCAGAACAGGTCCCATCATGATCCAGTTGATCCCATCAGAACCAGTCAGGAACCTATCGGGTTCTGATGTTCTGTTTGCTGCTTTAAGGATCCACCAGCTGGTTCTGTGTTCGTTCACTCTGGTTTCCATGATAGCAGTCCTGTTCTGCTGATTCCAGAACCGATATGGGTCGGGCAGCAGTCCGGCCCAGATCGTTTGTTTAGGAAATCTTCAGTTTTCCATTTTGGAAACGTTTCAACTTCCTGAATCGCTGTTCAGCCACTTCCTGTCAGGAAGCGGCTGGCAGGGCAGGAAGTGAGGAGCCAACATGGCCGCCAGCTGCAGGGGGAGAGTTCTGGTTCTGCTGCAGCCGAGTCCACAAAGACTCACCAGGGGGAACAGGCTGGTTCTGGTTCTGCTGCAAGTTCTGGTTTTGATTCTGATTTAGTGTTTCCTGCTTCAGTCCAGCTGGTTCCAGTTCACACAGAGAAACCCAGAACTTTCAGAACACTGAGACTGGAGTCAGGGTTTTGTTGCCGGTTCTGGTGACACTCTGTGCTGAAGCCAAAGGCTGGGTGGGTCTTGGTGGTTCTGGTTCTGGTGATCAAACAGAACCCAGTTTGGACCAAAACTAGAGGTGCAGACTAGGCCAGAGGAGCCTCTGGTTCTGTAGAACCCGGCTGGTTCTGGGTCACATCATCAGAACCAGCCCACAACACCATCCTTTCACTGCCGTCTTCCCGTCTGTTCATTTGATTTCTAGAGAGAAGAGGCTTTCAGGATCGTGACCTCTGACCTTTGTCCTACCTGTAGAGGCTGATATGGAGCTCATTTCTCTGAGCTTCCTGCTCTGTCCTTTGACCCCAAGCTGACCCTGCTGAACCAGGAGCCTTTCTTCAGGTTCCTTCAGATAGAACCAGAATCAACTTCTCCTCCTCGTCGTCTTCTTCCTGCCAGCTGGCGTTTTCCCAGCAGGCCATGCTGCAGCAGGTGGAAGTGATTCCCAGGAGGAGCTTCAGTCTGTAAACACAGCGACATCAGCAGCTGGGCCAGAACAAGAACTCGGTCCAGTCTGGGTCTGATTCATTAATACTGAATAATAAACAGGAGATAAAGGTCAAAAGTCAACCAGATTAACAGAACCTGAGGTGATGGGTCGGCTGAACTGTTGGACCGAAATTCTCCTAGAATCAGAACCTGTTGATCACACCACTGTGGAGCTGCTCCAAACACATCACTGGTTCTGATGGTTCTGGAGGTCCAGCAGCTTGTTATTGTGTCAGAGGTAGAGCAACCTGCTACTTCCTGTTTGGTGGTTGTGGTTCTGATGGTGGCAGGAAGTGAGCGTTGGACCCGATCAGAGTATAAATGACAACTTCCTGAAGTTGTGACGGGCCTGGACCCGGACATCCAGAACAGAACACAGGCTGTTCTGGTTCTGCTCACATCCCAAAGGGTCCCATTAGGCTCTGGACTTTGACTAGGCCTCTGACTTTTCCAGAGGCAGTTGTTTAGAGAAGCTGCTGCTGTCATCAACCACTTCCTGCTGACTGCACACCAACAGGAAGTTCACACACACACACACACTTCCTGTGGCTGCTGTTGCAACTCACCTGCAACCTATCAGAACCACTTAGAACCCCATTCTGGACCAGTGGTCCCGTGCAGAACCACTGGCCCTTTCAAACACCTTTCAGAACCAGCAGCTTGTCTCGGACCCAGACTAACTTTCTTCTTCTTTTCCTCTTCCTCCTCAGAGTCTTCAAGAAGTCCAGTCCGAACTGCAAGGTGAGTTCTGCTGAGTCCGGTCTCTGGTGGCCGGACTCGGGTTCTGTTCAGTGGTTCAGGATCCACTCAGGGATGCTGATGAACTAAAACTGGATCAGAAACAGGAAGTGAGCTATAAAGCCTGACAGAGGGGGAACAGCGCCTCCATGTGGTTAACATGGACCTTACAGGTTCTGATGGAGACCAGTCCATCAGAACCTTCATGGGTCAGTACAAAACAATAACCCAGTCAGACACTAGAGCCAGGTCCGGTTCAGACTGAATCAGGACAAAACCGGGTCAGGCTGTAGGAGGAGGTTCTGTTCCTAGAGGAACCCGGGTTCTGAACACAGACACAACAGAACCTCCAGAACCTAATGAACAGTTTAGAGAGCTGATCTCAATGTCACAGACAGAACCAATGAGAACCTGGTCCAGTTTCTGGTTCTGCTTTTAACTGGACCTCCTGGTTCTGACCCGCAGCTCACAGTCTACCTGGGGAAGCGGGACTTTGTGGACCACCTGGACCACGTGGACCCAGTAGGTGAGTCCCGACCTCCAGAACCCTCAGATGTTTGACCAGAACTTGGTTCTGGACACCAACTGATGGGTGTTTTCCTCCCAGATGGAGTGATCCTGGTGGACCCGGAGTACCTGAAGGACAGGAAAGGTGAGCCGGACCTCAGAACCGTCATTGGGTTCTGTTGGAACCACTCCTGAAGCTGGAGGGTTTTTGTCCTTCAGCCAGACGGGTCGGTTCTACAGAGCGTGTCAGACCCAGCAGAACCCAGAATGAAGGTCCAGTCAGAAGCTCTGGGTCTGAACCCTGACTCCGGAACCTGGATCTGGTGGGTCCCGTTGACCCTGTTGACCTGTACTCCTCCTCTTCTTTCTACAGTCTTCGTCACGCTGACCTGCGCCTTCCGGTACGGCCGGGAGGACCTGGACGTCCTGGGCCTGTCCTTCCGGAAGGACCTGTACATCTCTACCTTCCAGGTGAGACGCTCCGCCACGAGGAACCGCCGGCTCAGACTGACACCAGAACCATGGTTCATTTAGGAGGATACAGAACCCACGAATCCGTCAGCTATAAACGCCGGTTCCCCCTGACACCCTGCTGAGCCCGGTGGGAGGGCGCTAGGGCAGTCATCCAGCGGCCTGCTGTTTTTGAGTTGGAAAAACTTTTGAAGTTGACAGAAAATGTTAAAATATCACAAGGTAATTATGTGTTATTGGAAAACATTAATAATACCTAAACATCAACTATAAAATCTTTAAAAAGCCAAACATAA